CCCCAAAACCCCAAAACCCCAAAACCCCTCAGATGTGTTTTAATACTTTTTTGATAAATTGAAAGGAAATCGAATTTAAAATGGTAATAATAATACATAAAAAAAATATTTATTCAAGCAATTATGAGCAAAAACCTTATCTAAGAAATTCAACATCGATTAAAAAGAAAACTCAAAGTTGGCTTAGTGAAAGATATTAATGATGTAAAAATCAACAATATCACAAATTAAATTGAATAGAGTTAGTTTAGTAACTAATGAATGGCTAAATAAGATAGTGGCATAATTAGTGAAAAGCATATAATTAGTAATGGCGATTAAATTCAGGAAAATAGTTTTTGGCCTAGTAGTAGCATATAATTAGCTTAGAATTCAAGTGAAGATAGTTACCTTTAATTATCATCAGAGAGTTTAGCTGAAAATGTTTAGGATTAATTGCAATAAAAAGGACTTAGTAAGAAATCAATGAGCCAGAGAACTTGTGAGAAATAAGAAGAAATGTCATAAATTCTATAATAAATTTCAAGTTCAGTATAACCATAAAGAATAATAAACGATTCAACAGATTTAGATGACACTAACTAGGATATACTTTAAATTAATGATTGGGATAATCAGCTCGAACATTTAAAATAAAGCAACTAATAAGCTATACAGAAGGAACCTAGTATTAACCCTCTCTCAAAAATTTTAGGAAGAGCATTGTCAACTAATGTTATTGATATAAGTGAATATTCTGTAAAGTTTCATGTGCCTTGATTCATCAGAGTACTAATTTATCACTTGCTTTTTTACTATCTGTGGATACTGGCAGTTCCGATTATTATGATTATTGATTCTTTAAATTTGGCTAATAATATGTAGTTTTGGGTTAATGGAGGATTTTTGACTGGCTATTTCATTTAATCTTTTATGTTTATTTGCAATTTTACTATGGCTTTACTTTTTTTAAACTAGCAGTTTGGGATTTTTCAGACTAGAAATTGATTGAAAAATATCTACGCTGAATAGTATATCTTTGTTAATGTACAGATCATTGTAAGAGCTTTTATTATTGCTGTAAGACATGGCTATAGCTCTCCAATAAGATTTACTCTTTTCGAATTGGTTCTATTTAAATCCAAAAACTATAGATTTTGAAATAGATTCTGTATTATGGCGAAATCAGGTTGAGGAAAAGTATTTTAATTTCAAATTAGAGAACATCAATGACTTAGATACTAAAGAAAGACTAAAAGATGTGGAGTATTATAATAATAAAGGTTCATAATTCACCATGAAATAATATAAATTGTCACTAAATAAAAAGGTTAAATTGCTTGCTGATAAATAATTGTAGTCACAATAAATTGATCATAGCACAAATGACTTTAGCATGTTATCAAATAACCCAATTGATAAAAGTGATATCAAAGATAACTAAACTGAAGAAACATTTAAAGGAAGATTATTACTCAAAGAAATAGCGATGTTTTCTTATGCTTAATAGCCATAAACATTACCAATACTATTTATGTTCACAATTTTGAAACTATCTATACCCTTTCTTCTCAGATTAAAGGATTATGGAACAATTCTAGGATTTGATAATTGGGATAGTTATCTATTCTAAATATGCGAACTGATTCTTTTATCTATAATCTTGATGATGAACTATATATTTATAATTACAGGATTCATAGATTTTTACAGAAGAGTCTAAATGATAAAAGCTAGTAGTGCGCTGATTAATCCTTTCAAAAATGAACTTAATTTAAAGTATCAATTGCTTCCAACTATCAACCTAGTTTGCAGATCTTCTTTGCACTCTTGGCTAATTCTCAGATTATGCCTATTGGATTATGGTAGGAAATTTTTGAATAGAATTTTTATATATTGCTCAGCGTTTTTTGCTGCTAACTTGTTCTTAATTATAGTATTGCTTTTGAAGTATTTTGAAATTATAGACATCAAGCTTTCAATATATGCCTAGCTTGTTGGAATATTTGATATAATTTATGTATCAGTAGTCATTTTCTTAATGCTATTATGTGGAGCTGTTGTTAATTAATAGTTTATTAATGACAGATTACAATTAATTAAGTTTAAGTAGACATTATTATTTTGTCAAATAAATTTTGAAGATATCCTAAATGGGGAACTATTTACAGGTCCATATCTGAAGCTATATCAGAAAAATTTGATATTTCTAAAAAAAAATAAAACAAATGATGAGATTTTAATAATTATCAATAATTTGATTTCTGAGATGGATGCTATTATAGAGAGATTAGAATTGGAAGGAGAACATAAGCCTCTTAAATTGTTAGGCTTAAAAGCAACATTTGGACTAATGAATACAATTTATACTTCTATTATTACTGTTGGATTTGCTATTGTACAGAAATCTTTTTCAAAATGAAATTATAAGCATTACCAAATTAAGTTTATTAATATTTTACTACTCCAAATATGCATGGAAATTCTTCAATAAGGGGTTTTGGGGTTTTGGGG